AGCGCCCAGAACTGGACGCAGTACTCCAGCTGTGGCCTGACCAGTGCCGCATAGAGGGGGAGGATCACCTCCTTGGACCTGCTTGAGATGCATCTGTGGATGCATGAGAAGGTACGGTTGGCCTTCCCGACTGTGTCCCTACACTGTTGGCCCATGGTCATTTGGGCATCAATAATGACTCCAAGATCCTTTTCTGCCTCTGTACTGACAAGAAGGGAGTTCCCCAACCTGTAGGTATGCTGCTGGTTCTTTCTCCCCAGGTGCATCGCCTTGCACTTGTCAGTGTTGAATCTCATCCTATTCTCATCCACCCACCCCTGTAATCTGTCTAGGTCCTATTGCAGCCTGTTCCTACCTTCTAGCATGCCCACATCCCCCCACATCTTAGTGTCATCAGCGAATTTGAACAGGGTGCTTTTTACCCCCTCATCCAAGTTGCTGATGAAGATGTTGAACAGTGCGGGACCGAGGACTGAGCCCTGGGGGACCCCACTGCCCACATACCTCCAGGTCAAATAGGACCCATCCACCACCACTCTCTGGGTGCGACCCTTGAGCCAGTTAGTGACCCATTTGACTGTGTAGGTGTCAATGCCACAGTCCCCTAGTAATGTAATAGGCTTCTTCATCCAAAATGTATGCTAAGCTGAAAAAGCTATTATCCATAACATGACAAAGGACTTCCTACAGCTTTGATAATACAACTCAAGAATGGGGGAGCTGATGGAACTACAGTTATTTCTCTACAGTATATGTATCTGTAAAAGACAAACAACAGAAAAGGAAAGAGAGCTGGAGAGGGACCTGCAGTGTGATTCTGAGCATTTAGGTAATGTGTTGCCAGGAAAGAGGCTTGGACTGTGAACATGGAAATTGTCTCCTGCTGTTAGATTCCTCCAGTGTTCTGTGAAACGGGATATTGTGCATTCTTTGTAAATAAACAGGACTGCAAAGAAATACCTGACTATCATCAACATCTCCTGCTAGGATACCAAATTCTGGCTTGTGCCAAAAGGGTTGTATTATGTGGAGAAAGAGTGTTAATTAGTGAGCTGCCGTTTATATTAATTGACTAAATAAACTACAAATACAAGCAAGAACTGTGGGACAGGATGTGCTCATTTAAATAAAAATCTCTGAGTAAGTTTTTATGCAGGCCTTTGGCTTCTAGCCAGCCACCAGTGTAATAAAATCATATACTTGGGCACACTCTGCGCAGCTCCCTTATGTCATGCAACTAGCCCATTCTACCCGGATCTCCTACCTTCACAATGCTTTTTAAATCCTGCACGTAAGTCCTCTCCGTCTCCAGAATTTCTTGGACAACTCTGTCGACGTACAAGAGCTTCGGACTCGTGGGTTCTGTAACCAGGGATATGGCACAGTTTTTGCTCATTCCTTTTGGTTCAGCTTTCCTTGGCATAGCTGGCCTTTTCTCAAGGCTTTCTTCTGTGTTCTCTTGCTCCATGGGTTTATTTCTGTGTAACTCACTGGAAAATCGCCTGGCTGGAATCAGCTCTAATTTTATAGCCCCAGCTTCTTTATCCTGATTAAACAACCCCAAATGGCTGTTTGAAACTAAGGTCATTCTGCTGCCAAAGGAACAGTGGCTATCCCTGGAGGAGGCAGATGAGGATGTGGAACTAAAGCTGACAGGGCGGTCGCTGTCTGACAGCTCCATGGTCTTTACTCCACAGTAGCGGAAAGGTCGGTTCTCCTCATGCAAATCTTCCCTTGCTGTCTTGGGACCAGGACTCTCTGTCATAACTGGTAAGACATCAAGAGGCAAATGATAATCATCTAGAAAAGAAAATATTGTCATTGTCACTCATTCAGTGTAGCCATAGGCATCTTCAAAACATTTTTTTTTTAATTTAGGTATTTATTTGATTTACATGCCCCTCGTCCCAACCTTGGCTCAGGGCAGCTTACAGTAAGAGAATAAAACAACTTATAGAATGAGAGAACAAGAGAATAAAACAACTCAGATTATTAAAATAAAATCTAAAGAACTCTTCCCCCACAGCAATTCCCAAACAATATTCCAGCTTAAGCCTTGCTTACTAGACAGCTGCCCAAACAGGAAGGTCAAACAGTGCTTCCGAAGATGCTCAGGGTCTGGTGGGTCTCTGCGGTGAAGGAGCCCCAAAGCTGAGTAGGGACTGCCAAGAATGACCTCCTATGTGTTTTCACCAAACAAGCTTGGTGCACTAATGGTCCTTGCAAAAGGCTGCTCTCAGCTGACCTCAGGAATTGCAGTGGGGCATAAGGGAGAAGACAGTCCTTAGGCATGTGTACAATTAAACACAAAAAATAGCAGCAAAACTATTTTAAGGCAGAAGACAAAAAAAACTCATGGTCTGGAGATTTGGAAGGCTCAATGATTACTACTATGGTACAACTGCGATGTATTCCACCATTAGGTCAATTATTTCAACAGTTGAGTAGAAGTGGAAAAAAAATTACCATCAATTGGTGGTTTGGGGGTCTGCCTGAAAACACTTTGATGGTACTAATCATCTCTCGTTGGGAGTCTGAATGGCTTTCAAATGGAAATGTAGTTTGCATGAAGTAATGCAGAAGTCACAAGTTTAGGGAAAAAGAAATCAAAATAAAATATTTTATTGGGGTCAGTTTAACCTAAATTGAAATATTTCATTTTGCTGTTCTGACAGAAAATGTTCCTTTCCTGTGCAATAGAAAATCAACAGTTTATTCTGCTCTAGTCAGAATCTCAGCTGGCTACATTTCATAAACCACGCTGGCAACTGGGATACTAAGTGGCAACCTCAGTGGACAAGCCAAGAAACAAATGCACTTGTAAAATGTCCTCTCCAGGTCAGGAATGAGGCAAATTGGCCATATAGCATGGGAAAAATTTAACATTGATATTACTTATGCCACAAACATAAGAGAATGCCAGTTTCATGGACCCCTTGCATGAACAAGTGCATTTCACTAATTTAAAAATATCATATTTTCTCACATATAATTTGCACCTTTTCCCCCAAAACCAGCTGGTGAAAATTGGAGTGTGAAACACAGCAGCTAATGCTGCCACCACCCTCCCACTGTCAAAATTCTGGACCTGCAGGAAGCCCCACAACAAGATGACTGGGTCTGTATGCTAGGTTAGACTGCCATGTGGGGTTGGTCCATGGCTCTGGACCTGCCACACTGAGTTTGACCTGACTCCGGAGCCAGAGCACAGGGTCATACTCAGTGTGGCTTTGAACCTGGCACGCTGGGTTGGTCCATGGGCCCCATCTGCTATGTAGGGGTGGCAACAGGCTTGGGAGCAGGCTCAGCACCCTCACTGCTGCTACTCGCTTTCCAAAAGGAAAGATTTTTTTTTTCCTCTTCAGGCCTCCCTTGAAAAAAAAGGTGTGTGTTATACAAGGAGCTGTGCTGTATGCAAGAAAATATGGTACATAAAGAAGGAAGAGGTTTGCTTTATCTCTATTATCTTGTCGGCATACTACACACACACACACACACACATATACACACATACATACACACACACACACACACACACACATATATACACACACGCATAAACACATTCATGTGTATAAAACATGCTTAATAACATTACGCTAATATTATCATGAATATCATCATTGCCACTGTAAGGCAATACAGGTTTACAGTCAAATTCTGTTCTCTAATGTGCATGAATAGTAACACTGATTAATAATTTGCTTATGCAATATAAAGTATGTTTTTCCCTAGAAAGACTGAGTTTAGCTCTCCTAGTGTACATAGACCCAAATGTGTCCCCAAATGTATTCTTATAACCAAGAGGAGGACAAGACCCAAAATAATGCTATTTTACTTTTTGCTCTTTTTAGGCACATCATAGATAACTTTTCCTGAACATAGTTTCTTGAATAAGGTTTTGCTTTATATTTCTATAAAGCATAAGACATTTTCTGCACGGAACTGTTTAAAATGAAGAATATAGTGAAGTTGATGCTCCCCATTTCAGAAGGAGATAGAAAAATGTATGCTTCCTTAATGCTCTGGATAGCAAACAAAGTATGCCTTTTTGTTATCAGCCCTGGATCACTTTTCAGGCTGAGTCAAAAAGCAGAGCGCAGCTGTACAGACCTAGACCCTCTTGAAAAATGGACAGGATAAATAAGATAACAGGGATACCCTTCTGCTGACTTATCAGAAGATATATTATTAATAATACACAGCAAAGAACACCTGATTAACTGCACTTAGAAAACAAGAGGTTCCTGCTACATTCATTCACTTTATAGTCTTTCTTTCTGTTTCACTGATATGTTGGCTGGTTTTCTGATAACTTGAAGGCAGTTTGTTTATTAAAAAACAAAGCACCGTTTGGATCAATAAAACTGAAGTCATAATTTTTTTTTAAAAGGATTCATAGCTAGAAGCTATAGGAAAATGTTAACATTGCCTTTTAAAATTTCCACAGCATTCTCTTTTCTTGCTATTCAACACATCCATAGCTTATAAACCCCCACCCCCTGCAAAAAAACAAGCACTGTTTGCAGTAGTTCAAACGTATTTGCCCTTAGAAGCTAACATAAGTATGACCTTGCAAATACCAGGGCACGGGAAAGCAACCCAAGTTTTATGTAGCACCACTTGACAACAGTTTATTCATCTTCACACAAGACATTATAGGTATACAAAAGTCGTATAGCCAACCTAGACATGTATAGCACCATACAAAAGTCAATAAGCCAACCTAGACATGCTTGAAACTGGCTCTAGGTTTGCATAGTCTACGAACTTCAGCAGGTTCACAAACTCTCAGTTTGCTGTGAAAACCAGGAAACAGATTATTTTCCTGTGTTTTCATGTACTGTTATAAACATTCCATGCAGTGCCAACTCCTTTTAAATTTTGCTTTAATAGAAACATGAATCTAAGCCCTAATCAAAACTTGGATCTGAATGTCTCTAAACTTCTATCTATCCTACACGTATATCTAAGAGCCTTAGCACCACAACACCTTATTAAACGCTTATAAATTTACCTTCACAAGATCATCCTAAATTAAGAAAGTATTATCTTCTTTCTGGAACCAAGGAAGAGAGAGACTAAACAAGAATGTTTGCCAGAAAAGGTAGGAATTGAATCAAGTCCAACGCTATGATCCATTCAACGTTTTTTGGTACAGTTTAGATTTGAGTTCTGCGGCTTAGGTGCAATTCCACTGTAAATACCTCTTCTATTTCTTCCTTGGCAGCCTAAATAGTACACCTACCAACTGATGTTAACAATGGTAAAATATTACCATCCCTTAAAAACAATTTTGGCTAACATCATCATAACCACAATGACTTCCTTTTACTGACTATGCCTTAGAGAGCACTGGCACTTCTTCAAAAATCCTGCTCCCCCTGTGAGTTTCTCTGTATTGCAAGGCAGACAAGTTTCTTTGGGTAGATGCGATATCTTTTATTAGACCAATTAAACAGTTGGAAAAAAATTCTTCTTTGCAAGCTTTTGGTCACCCTTCTTCAGGCATAGGAAGAGTCTGCTGGTATTTGTGCACTCTCCTAGGTAGAACATAATCTGCATAACGAGAAAATTCATTACTCAAGCACGTTGAAAGCCTCATTTACAGAGTTGCTTAGCCTCGTACAGATTTCAGTGACAACATTAGGAGGTCAGAACAATCCGTACCTCTGAAAAATCAGGCTCTAATCTTACAGTTTACACAATAACAGATCCTGTAAGGTCCTCTACCAAGAATATACCAATAAGTGTTGTAATGTTAAAATGTATATTTGGCCCAGGCATTACTTGTTATTTTGTTAGACGCTTTCTTTATTGAATCATTTGCAATAACAATTCAAGGTTCAAATAAAGGTACTTAATTCACAATATGAAAATATACAAACCTCGAGATTTGCATGCTTTAATTTAGAAATAACAGTAATTATTTGTTAGTTGGCACCAGAGACTATAATTACAAGTGTGTCAATGCTCACAAGAAAATGTGCTGCAGGAACAAGATTTTTCTTGTTTGTCTTTCCATGAATTTAAGCAGAAGGTTGGCCAGGTGGCACCTTAGATACTAACTGGTTCAGAGATACATGAGGTTATATAGGAAACAGTCTACTTCATCAAATGCTATGAATGGACTTGCAGAAAGAAAGCATTTAAAATAGAGAGAGGAATCTGAACTTCCTCTTTTGCCTGGCTTACTCCCTGTGAAACAACATGCAGGAAATTGGCACTTTACAACAGGAGAGAACTAACTAATAAAAACAATGACGTACATCTTCTGTAACAGTGCAAGGGTAAAAGATATATTAAGACTGCATGTAAAACAAATATTTTACCTATACTGATGTTTTCTATATGCACATAGCAATCTTTTGTCCCTCAAATATGTCAAGCACCTTCAACAATTTTTTAGTAAACACACAATTTTCTCTGGGTTTCTATAGTTGTATTTATAGTAACTGTAAAAGTCTTTTCATTTTTGCTTAAAACTTTATAGTCTAAAAAAAGTTATTTATCAAAATATGCAGTAGTATAAGGCGGTTTAAGATTTCTTTAAAAAGTAAACCTTTATATAATGAATTTATTCTTCCATATTCCTTATTACATTTGATGCATGCAGGCATACTCTATGATCAGCAACTTAAAGTCAATTTGCTACTTGTAATTACTGTAAAGTACTGTTTTCTTTCTGTTGATATGAAAATTAAAGTTAAAATCCACATTTACCAAAAAAAAAAAAATATGTTCACATGTTCTGAAAACTTAGCTGAAAAAATGTCACGATTATGGTAATTCCTTCAATT